AAATCTAATTTTTACTGAAGTAAAGTTTTTTCAAAAATGTTAATCGTTTTTAAAAAAATAATAATTTTTGGTACCGATGCCATGCGCCCCACTAGTTTTTATTTCTATTATATAGTATTTTCTTTTCTCGCGGAAGTCACAATGGGTCCGATCAAGTTTCTTTTCTTTTTATTTTTTTGTTATATTGTTTTTTTATTTGTTATATTGTCTTATGTTCTCCATTCGCCTCCAGCGAATAATTTTTGTGGGCCTTTCTTAGAGTTCCTGTCTCTGATCAGCTCCAGACATCACCTTTTATTAGTCTCAATTATATATATATTATATATATATAATTGAGACTAATAAAAGGTGATGTCTGGAGCTAATCAGTCTGGAGCTAATATATATATGTATATATATATATGTATGTATATATATATATTTGTGTGTTAGTTATTTACCGGTAACTATAAATCTTGTATTGATGAAATTTATTCGCAATCGATACATCACCGAGACAAATTTGTCATCATTCATCTCCACAATATGCCGCGCATCATCCAAGATCATTTGTTACCTATGTACACACAGCTGCACAAGTACACAACGTCAACAAACAAACAAATCAATGAACATAGAAAAAATAAACCGCCTTCAGTCAAGGAAATAATAATATCGGGAAAAAATAGGAGGCAATGTTAATGTTAAATAGAAAACCATCCGATGACAGCGTTTGTGACGAGCGTAACAAAACTGGGTTCTTGTTTACACAATAACCTGAGCACAATGACCGTTATTATAACATCTTTACAAAGTGTTGCTCGCAATTGTATCATGCTTGTTTACATTTGGCGACGAACGGGGCGACAGTTTCCACTGGGTGACGATGTGACGAACGCAAAGCAAATAGACCGCGTTCAGTGTTCGGTTATTCGGTTATTTATGATTTTGCAAAAGGTCAAAATTATGCTGACGATGAGAACTTTGTGATTTCACATAGTTCACTATTATAGAGATATTCATAAACGGAGGAGAGACACCAACTTTTTTCGGAAACTGCCAAGAAACGAAATGTATAACTTGCTCAAAATTAGTACAGTCGTTAAATATATATTTTTAAAAGGTAATTGATTTAGTTTTGGTAAAATCACTTTGTATAAAACTTTTATGATATTTTCAAAAGCTGAAACTCGGCGTGAGTTGCTCTTTGCCTTGATATATGAAAATATTGGACATAATCCATGAGAATAAGGATTTAGGGGTTAATCGGTTCTATATCTAAAACGCCTCACTGCCCAGCAAATACATAACATTTTAACATTTTTTACTACTAATTTATATGAAGAAAGCAAGAGTAAAGCTCTTAGATTTTCATAATTTTCAATACTGATTTCAAAAATATTTTTAGTTTACTTTGTTTTCAATGTCTGCACCACAATTTCGATTTTTTTCGTGGTCCTTTCCATATATAGCCATAGCCATTCCACATTTCTGTATTTTATGCCGGATTAAATCATATTTTTGGCAAAGGAAACATTTGTCATCTGATGTGAGATAGTTCACTTTTTTGTAGTCAAAAGAGCCGAAGAATTGATAACTTACTACCCCCCCCCCCCCCCTTACTTACTTATGTCTTTCTTACTAACTTTGAAAATTGTGGCAACAGTACATTGTTTTTGTTGAACTTCGATGATTTTATAGCTAACTTTATTGACCAAGTAGGTTTTAGGATTTTCGTTAAGAGCATGAACCCTAGCATGAGCTTAAAGTGCCTTAAAATTGTTTCTTAACAATAAAATCAATTATTAACTAACAATCGGGCACGACTGATTTTTCTAAATGATATGGCGATTGGATGACCAATTTTCAAATTTTCAGAATTAGTTCAGGACAAAACAAATGCATTTTCTGCTTATTCTAACGCCGATTATTTATGCTATTTATCGAGTTCTATCAAAATACTTTTAATTTTTTTAAATGGTTTCAGTGGTTTTTAAGGAAACATATTTTCTCTAATTTTGGTGTCAAACGATAATAAATGACATAAAACAATAAACATATTTATTCGAAGTGATCACACTGTGACCTTAAACACTATGATCTGGTTAAATTAGTTTTTGAATTCAGTTTTGGATGTTAATGTTCATAATTACACAGGTTCTCGACTTGAATTGTTCATCTCATTACATATATTTTCAAAATTTATATAAACTAGAAAAATGCTTTATGAGTATATTTAAAATTAACTGTAAAAGTAGAACGTTTAGTTATAAAAGATATATAAAGTGAGAAGATAAATATAAAATTAATAATTTACTAAGTTCTATAACAAAACACCATTCATTTAAATTACCATCATGATTAAGAGACCATTAACTATACACGTTTTCCTGTATTAGTTTAAATAATAACTAAATAATTCATCATAAATGTATTATTCATACAAATAATTAATTTAAAATACTGCACAACAAGTCGTTTCATTGTAAATGCTTACACATTACATATCTCTGTACTTAATATGCTCGGTATCTTTGCAATCATTCTGGGGTAAATTTATTGCGTTTTAATTGCGCCCACATGATTACATATGCACTCTCTTATGTGATAATTTGCATTAACAATGGTCTTAAGACGTGCTTTTATGTGCTGCTTGTGCTCATGATGCAACATTGATCTAAATAACGAAGAATGATATAACTAATTACTTGCGAAGAGAACTAAATTATTAATTACCTACATTGTTTTGTTTTATTCATGTTACCCATAGGTGCTTTTGTCAAAGAAAAAAAACTCATGAAGAGAAGAGAAAGAAAATATGTGCGGGTACATGAAATATTAACAAATATGTTCTCGAATTTTTCATATACAAAGCATATCCAAAGGATCAGATTACAACGTATATTTCTATCGAAATGATTATTCTGCAACTTAAAAAAAAACTCAACTAAAATTGAACATAATTTATATGATCATATTGCAATTTAAATAAAATTAAACATGATTTTAAATTTGAAATTTAATTAGTTTAAATATTATAGTATTTTTATATTCAAAGTCTTAAATAAAATTAAAAGTGTGAAGGAGACTAGAGATCTATCTATATAATCGCCTAAATAATCTATATAAAATAAGTTATTTAATAAATTGATAAATTAAAGAGTTCTGAACGATTCCTGATATTTTTTATCAAGATATCGTAACTGTTTCGCTTTGTAACTATCTTTATCTTTTTGCATTTTCAAAGGTTTGGCTTATTTGCCTGATCTCTAATTCTTACATTACGAAAACTTTCATAAGAACAGATTGTGTTTATGAAATCATTTATTGAAAAATTTGTCTTTTTTACAACCACCATGTTCTAACATAAGACTAGGTTTTTTACAATCCTTTTTTTTCTGAACTATCTTTACCTTTCAAACTTTATATGTCTTAATTATATAAATAATAATAATAGAAAATGAAGATATAAATAGTTGATTCAGTCTAAGGAAATTTGGAAAATTATCTAATCTAAAGATATAAATGTTGGATGCAATTTCAAGTAACTATTAAGTATTACCATTATACTGGGAATTAACGAATTTAAAATTTTATTATTACTAGTAATATCTTGAAAATAAAATTATGTGAAATATGTTGTTCGGAAGTAATTGTAACATTTATTATTATTTATGCATCATAGTAATTATAACATTTATTCGCTGGTCGTTAATTATCACTTTTTTTAAATTCGTTTTATTCTGCAATCTGTTAGATAAAACAATAAGAGAGATAACATTATAATTTGATTATAATAAATACTTCCAGCGGAGAATGTATTAGGAGTATAATATAAAACAAAAACGAATATAGAATTCATATAAAAGTGAAGAAAAGAGAAATAATATAAAAGTTACTAAATGAGATCAGTGGGTAATTTTTGTTTAGCCTGGTGGGCTGGTTTTCCGAGTGCACTTGGCTGCCTAAAACGTTTGGATGGACGTCGATTTTGCCTTTATAATTGGAAGTTAATATCATTTAATGGTAGTTAATTATCACTTAATAAATATCGTTTGATTATTTCATATTTACAGATCAATAATATTTCGTTTATTTGATCTTATATCGCAATGCCTCTAATTTAGTTTCGAGCCTCTGCATTTCCACCGTCGGCTGCCCGCGTTGCTTTTGCACAATGGCATGGCGGCGTCGCCGTCCGGGTCGGTCATAAAGTAATGATGTCAAGCTGGCCATAAATCACACATATGCGTACTCATCATCGTAGATATTGTCGCGTTTGTATATATCGTTCTGTCGGAACGTGCCTCAATAATTTATATCAATATATACAGATGTTGTACATGTGCGTGACTATGAATAATATCCCGCTTGCATACATTGCGTGCGCGCTAATAAATTGAATAGTACGCCTTGAACGCCATCGTGAAAACGAAAAACCCGTTTCTGATTATTTCGATGTGTGTGTTCACGCTCCACACTCACGTTGCTGCGCGATGGGTGGAGCATGTTAAAGGCCGTCCTATTTCTCCATGGTTACCTGTGGTACACTAATATGAGAGATTTTTATTTTATTTACGGAATAAAACAAGAAAGCAAAGCGCAAAAAGGCGAACGCGGTATGATTTTTATAGCAGTACGCTTTTTCTGCGTCAGACGTAACATTCATCGTAAATTTTTAAGTGAGACTAAATTTATGAACCCTTAAACTGAAATAGCCTAAGAACATAATTTCATGAATCACATTTCTTGAGATCCACTTCTGAACAACTCATATTTTAGTATTCAATTCAAAAGCAATGTAATAAACGAACTGAAATCTGTAAAGATAATAAACGAATGCGTAATATATATGATACATTATGATATTATAAATTGTTATAATATTCAATATGGCATATGATTTTGATATATTATATGTTATTCAAATTAGTTAATGTTATTTATTTTTTGTATTTCTATTTATAAATATACCAAACATTTGTGTTTTTATTTATCTAATATAAATTTATTATTTGCAGGTTTGGTTTAAAAATCGTCGAGCGAAATGCAGGCAGCAACTCCAGCAACAACAAAGCAGTTCCATCAAATCATCATCTGGGAACACGAATTCATCATCAACGAGACACCAGTCACAAAACTCTCAAAAATCCAATGGCCAATCTTCATCTTCCGCTCCATCAAAGACTGGTTCTAATAACAATAACAACAACAACAACACAACTAACTCTCCTCAAAAAGGACAGCAGCAGCAGCACGCAAACACTTCGTCGCCTGGTCTACCGATTACCCCATCGACGAGTGTTAGTCCACCCGTAAATGTTATTTGTAAAAAGGAATCATCGACAGGGGGAGGTGGTCTGACACCACTTACATACGATCATCCGCATCATCATCATAACTCTCATAATAACAAACATCTGTTACCGACATTAGGCTACAACGAAAAAGACCCACAATCCCAACACCAGCAAGATCACACGGGGAACAATGGATCTTTGGCCTACAATCGACTAGCGGCTGGAAATTTGACGCCTCTTGGTTCTAACTCTAGCGTTATGACGACACCATCACCTCCTATGACGCCGACTGTGAATACAAATAGTTTACCTTACACGCCGAATCACGATTATAATTTCCATTGGCATTCTGGTGACTACATAAAGAATTACGGCCACCATGCGTCCAATTATCCGTCGGCCGGTAACTACGCCCAGAGCCCGTATTATGGCCAAATGGAGTATTTTAATGCTGTCAGTGGTGGCCAAAGTATGGGCCCGATGGGTTCCTACAACGCGGCCGTTCAACCTAGCGGTGGTTACGGTAGTGGTAATTTCGGCTTGAGTGGTGTTCCCAGTATGGGAGCCGCGCAAGGTTTCAGCCCATCGGGACTCGAATATATGGCGAGTACAGGTGCTACCGATAAATATGGTATGAATATGGTGTAGGACGAAATTGCCTTCCTGCTGAATCTGCCGCCGATTTAACAAGAATGAAGTGGCACCAAAATTTCGACTGAGTTTGGCACGATTTTTAAGAAGTTTTGTGATGAAACAAAAGTGATTATTGTCGGACTTATCACGACGGAACATTTGACTAGCATTTTAAGTTTATATAATCGAAAAATGATTCAAAAATATGTATGGAAGTGATTGTTTCACTAACGTTTAGTGACGTTGTTAACGGGTGACGCTACAAAAGTCTTAAATTTATTTTGTAGAAAATGAAATATTGAATCGTTTTAGGACGATTAATATTTTTATTTATGTTATGATTTTTAAAAGATCTGAAAGATTTTATTATATTTCATATAATTATTTATTAAACTATACTTCATTCATTCGATTTGTATTATAGTCGCTTATGTCATGAAAAAAAGCATTATATTAAGGCCGTGCCACTTATAGTCTAAATGATCTCTTGAAACCATGCAAATGACAAAAATAAATAAACTCTGGCCTAACTGTCACGTGCCAAAGTAAGACTATGCAATGAGATGCAGGGGCTTGAAATATATTAAATTTGATGCAATTAGTAAATAATTATAAATATTCTAATATTGTATAAATTCTCAAAAAAATCTTAGTTTATATTGCGTGTATATAATAATGTATCTCAGTGTATTTGTAAATCAAATCCAGTTTCAATTTTTATATATTAAATTTTGAAACGTTTGCCATATCAGTAAATTATATTTGTTATAGGAAATAAAATTGTAAATAGCATATAGTAAAAATTTAGTAATATTCATATGAAAACACATATCTCTAAAGTTGCTGGTACAAATTAGTAATTTCTTGGATTTTAGATTAAATTTTGTTTTACAGCTTGTAATCTTTGTATATTGAATTCAATTATACTTTTTTGTTTTTGGTAAATTTACTGTTTAAAGCAATCTATCAAATGCTTGTAATATTTGAATTATAATTTATCCTATTATTAAACTTACAGTAACCATAAATAAAATTTTATTGCAAGACGAAATAATTCTTTAATTATTACAGGCATTTGATCATTTAAGATTAAAGTGAATTCTGCGCAAATAAATTGTACTTGAATTAATGTCATATGGAATGTGCAATGAATCAATGAAGTTGAAACTTAGGATTTTTGATAAAAAATATTAAAATTAGACACAAGAATACAGAATGTCAATTTTAATTGTGATGTGTACAAATTCAGAGAACTACTATCTCTTATCATTTCTAATCAGCTCGTTTCATATGAATATTAATCTGTAATAAGGAGTCCCCATGCATAATTGTTCATATCCCCTGTACATAGTACGTGAAACGATAAATGTAACAAACGATTTTAGAGTGGTTGATTGTCGCTGTTGTTTTACAAATACAGAAAATCAAATTTATTCTATTTGGATGCATTTGTATTTTGAAAAATGAAAATAAATTATGATATATTATAACATGTTGTGTGTGTACACAATATGGAATATAACGATTATTGTAAATAAATATATCTGAAATATTAATAATGATATTGATAAAAATGTAAAAATTAATTGGTGTTATTATTTCAATAATGTTCTTACATTATGCATTGCTTATTTTCAACACTTTTAGTCCGGTTCAGATTTAAAAAATCTAGTTTTTTTTGGGATCATATTGATTGTTAGTTCAAAAAACGTTCACAAATTCTTAGATTATTAACGTATACACTTTTTTGAAATATTGATCTACATGCAATATCGATATTTTGCAAATTATATATTCAAATAAGAGTAAGTTCACAAATAAACTTCATTATTGTATGCAGAAACAACCAAAGCCAAAATTTTAGCAGAGGGGCAAGTTTAAATGAACCTTACCAGAAATTCAAGGTTTCAATGAAAATGAATTTTTTTTTTGATACCTATATATTTATATATTTGTTTAAAAATACTTAAGTTAAGTACTCAATAACGATATTAATAAAACTAAGCATCTAAAATATAAACAAATTAAAATCTTAATTTCCTTCAACAGATGTCTACAGTAAATATTCTTACAATTAGTACCATGGGGGGTAAACATAGAACTTAGTACCTAAATCGCCTGGTGAATACAGTGAAAATAAATTTTAAAGTCATTTTTTAATTGTGCTGCTACTTTTAATTCAGCAAGTTACAGATAAACTTCAAAGTGATTATGTATGTAAGATTTAAATTGATAATAATTTTGATAAAAATGGATCAGTTTTTTTATGAAACATGTGTGTGTTAACAAGCAACAGGTAACAAGTTTTCGGTATTAAAAAATTTTGTGGATTTTTGTGGAAAAAAAGTTGATGGATTTCTGTTGATGGATTGTTGCTTGTTGGTGTTGGATATTTTTTTCATATGTGAGATGTTAATATAACATATGTTATATTATAACATATGTTATATAAGTGCGACTTTATCTCTGATTTAATTCTAAATTTATAAATAAGTTACTAATAATCATTCATACACACACGCATACACACACACATATATATATATATATATATATTCTATTTTACATATGTAGTATAGTTATATATACGATGTTTTTTCAATTATTTAACAGCTTCGAAATAAAATACATTTTTAATTATAATTATGCAGTTTCGAAAACAAAGTTCGTTTTATAATTCAGCTAAAAAGTAACAAAAGTAATAACAATACAATTACAACACTAAACGTTAAATAATCAAATTCTATATACCAAATGTTAATTACTTGTGTTGACTAACTTTTTTTCGTTTTTCTTTGGTACTTTTATATGGCTGTCAAAACTTAATAAATTGCCATAAGCCAGACTTTTCTCTTAATTTGCTGATCATTTACAACCATCTTCCCCCGCTTTTTTCTTCATTGTGGTTGTGACACATCTAGTGAAGTCTAAACCTAAACATCAGTTTACCTTTTACTCGTATGTGGTTTCCTAACCTAAAAATGTTTAATTATTGGTTTTAAAATATGTGTTTGTTTGTTTTTTATTTAATTTGTGTAGTATGGTTTTTTCGTTGGTCATATAATTTGATTGTTCCGTGTGTTAAAAGTGACAACAAATTGTTGTCACCTACAAAAATATATACAACAAAGACGTACTAATGTTATATTTGACATCTGTCCCATTTTGAGGTTAGGTTTTAGAAGTTATTATTGTCTAAAAACACTTGATCAGTTTAGAGATCTGGTTATTGTCTAAAATACTTGAGCGTTTTGAGTCTAAACTTTAGACAGTTCGTGACTACTAACTCATGCGATTTTTCAACATAAGAGACAAGTAACATTACATAGCTATTTTATCCGAAATTTGGCGCCTATTATTTGTTATATATCAGTGAAGACGGACAATACTTATTTCTTAGTGACTCATCAGCCAAAGCAGTTTGTTACATGTAACAAAGGAAAAGATTTATTGAGACTTTAATAATTATATAATTAGCGAAAGTTAATGATTTTTTTTTTATAAGTAAAGCTGCACTATGGTAAGTAACTATTATCTATATACAATCCTATTTGGCCAAGGATTAGGCATGAGGAGTGCTTGAGTATCTATATAAATATTTTTTATATAGTTATTATATTATATATTCATATAATTATTTTAATCATAATATAAAAGATATATTCATTGAAAATCCACGAAAAAACTTAGTATGATCATTAATTATATTTTCAGTATTCAAAATATATAACATAGCATAAATTCGCCCTTGGAAACTAATGATTCTATCATGGATATTTAATCATTTTGTTGGTTTAGTATTACAATAGAAATCTACTTGAAAATTTGGTCACGTGTGTAGGGTGTTGCTACTGATGGTCTGATGAAAATGAATTTCATGGCTTCATCTTACTCGATTAGTAATGATGAACAGGGTAGACCAACGATTTTTAATTTAATTAAAATTTAAAATCCAAAGTAAAAGTAATGCAAAACTTTAAGATGAATATCAAATAGTTGGATAACAAAAGAAATAATCTTTGTAAATGTATTTACATGTTAATATTTGTAAATTTTCAATTTATTAAATTAGATAAAAATTAAAATATAAATTTTAAATTTCTCAGAAAAATATAAGTTCGAAATACCAAAAGTCTTTAATTTTATATATACAATTATTTGATAAAATACATTTCTTTTAAATTTATTTAGAAAATCGAGACGATTCGCGGGTTGATCATAATCAAATAATTTTAAATTTTCAATTATTGCTAACTAATGTGTAATATTAATATTTGAAACATAATGTGCGATTTATTCTATTGAGCAAATCATGCCGGAAGAGCAAACTAACTTTTCATTTTTAAACATAACACTAAGTTGGATTTTTTAAATTTTAATTTAATTTTGATTTTTCATTATTTACAATATTCAATATTGCATCGTCGATTTCTCCTTAGTGATATTGTAAAGACCGAATTGTTTTCATCTTTACCTTACCATTTTAAAAGTATTGTCCAAAGAGCTGTAAAATGTGCAAAGAAATTACATATTTCTTTAACTATATTAAAAAAAAACTAATTATATTTGTATTTGTATCATTTTTGCATAGTTAATAATTAATTTAGAGTATGGGCAACACCAGTAAATTTTGCTTCCATTTTTCAAATTTGGTTCTTTTCTATACCCGAACCATGATGTATGTCTTCAACATTTAAAGTTCATCAGATGCAAAACATTTGCAACAAAAAACAAAAGTTAAAATTAAATTTCTCGAAAAAAATGAGCCATTTTCTAAGCACTAACTCCTCATTTTCCATTTTCTCTATTATAATTGGTATCTATTTTTTAACAAAGTCCGTTTTTTTTCGATTCCACGTTAACTTCAAATAGAACAGAGCAGAACAATAATTTACTAGTTTGTAGAGCAATTCATCGGTTAATTGTTTTTACTGATCTCACATTACAAACTAAATATGCTTTTTGTGTCACCGAATCCATAGTTAATTCAGATGGTTATTATAATCTATTAAGTATTCTTGATATTATATTTAAAAAAAAAATTATATATAAATAATGTAGTATAAATTTAATATCCCAATCACGTGTTGGCTTCCCTGTAAGGCGTTTGCCCGCTTGCATTCCATGGAAGGTAGAACCGGCCCTGTATGTATATATAATAATAATTTTCTATTTTCAAAACTGACCAGGCAAACCTAAAGCTTGGCCATTGATGCTCGACTCGTGCACATACAAGCCGCAATACAAAATAGGTGGATAGTGTTACCGAAGCACTACGTGTAGGCACGTGGTCGGCACGTGCCGGCTATTTTTGCTCTTTTTTGCTATTTCGCTGTATGCAGATTAATTGATATTTCTTTTGGGGTAAATACTAGTCAAAATTCATGACGACTTTTACTACGCAATGAGATAATGACGCATACAAAAACAAGCTACTTAAGTTATTTTAAGATTTTTTACTAGAATTATATGGATAATTATACCAATTTGGAGTTAGGATTATTCATTAATTGTATTTTACAGATAAAATTTAATATTTCTGTAAAATTTATCTTTATCAAACACAA